TAAACGACATAATTAATCAGATCTCGGACGACTTCCTTTATTACATCTGCATCTGCCCAATCATCCTCCACTGCAGAACAATTAGAAAAAGCCATTTCAAATTTCAATGTGACATTGTTACTGTCTCTATTCCTTACTTCCTGTGATGATTGTTCGATCGGATGCTTCATGCTAATAGTTTGTTCGCAAGCAGAGCATTTCTCATCATCAAGTTTCTGGGCAACACTATCCTTACATTTCACCACAAATGTGGCATCTCCAAAATAATCTTGTGTTGATGCCGTATCTGGTCCATGTTGTAAAGTGACGACGGCAGTGAATTGCATAGAATCTGATCGAAGACTTTCCTCAACTGCGGGCTGCTGAATTACCACTTCTTCGTGGGGATTCATTACATTTCTCGTATCACAGCTTCCCCTTTTTCCCTGAACATCTTGAGATATCACGCATTTCATTCTCTCCTCACCATTTTGAGATCCAAAGCTTCCTGATGATCCATCAACACCAAGAAATCCAGAATTTTCTGAGTCTTTCAGTTGTTCAACTGTCAAATTTTCGACTTTTAAAGTTGGATCTTCCGTAGTTAAAAATTCAGATCCTTGTGTGTTAACTGCGAAACTTTCAGTAAACGACCGCTGCAATGAAATGCAGTCGTCAGATTTAGCTTTTGCTGTTTTTTGAATCGACGGACCCACCTGTTCAACCTGAAATGTGAGGAACGATAAATTTTTAAAAAGACGGAAATTCTATTTAAAAAATGCAACGAAGATAATTTGGTCATGTTCAAAGTGATGTCATATACGGGTCGATAACACTTTAGCCCACCGATGATCTAATAACTCATTTAAGATAAAATACCTTAAATCGCGACTTCACTCGGGCAACATCTCGCGGATTTGTCTCATTCAAGCTCGAAGTAGAAACTGTGAAGCGCCGTGATATTTTTTTCACCGGTTTTTTTACTTCATTTTCAGGATGATCTCCAGTTATTGAAGGAAGAGATGGACATTTCAACAGCTCATCTGAACTCAAACCTTATTTTTTGTAGTGAAAATTATTTGGTGCTCGTCAACTTTGAAAACTGCTTAATCTTACAATAAACTCCATAAAATATGTCTAGAATACATCCATCATAAGATTGCATAGCAAGAGATAGTATTACAATTTCATTTTGGCAACATAAAAAAATAAAAAAGCTGCTTTATACTGACCGAGTACAGTTAGATAATAGCAACAGAGCATTCATTTTATTTAGAATCATTTGGAAACCAACTCAAACAAACTTATGAATGGCTCTATAAATGTCCAACAGTTGAAGATAAACTGCATTGAATAAATATGTATTTCTGATAGTTGGATAAAAACAAATTTTTTAAGATATTGAAAAACGATGGAACCATACTTTTGGAAAACAATGCAGGGTAGCTTTCGTCTGATTGTTTCTTGATAGTAGTGATGCTGTCCGGAATTTGCTCAATCAGTGCTAATGAATGAGTCATTTGTGCAACGCGTTCCTAAATTGATGAATATATTGATGCAACACAATAAACATAGATAGATAGTGGATTTTTGGAGATATTCAATTTTTATTCTTCCCCCATACGCACAATTAAATGATTGATTTAAGTGAACAATGAAACATCTCAGATCGTTGATCTTTGACTGAGACAATCGGCATTAATATGAAGAACATATGTTCAGAATGTACATAACATTCATTTTATTTTTGAATATTTCAGCTTTTCTGTTGCATCAATATAAGGATTGCTGCACGGAGGAAAAAAAAATTTTTAACTTGCTTATTGACAAACTGCCAAAATGGTGAAAATGGTGGAAAAATGTATATAATTAAAACCTTACTTAAGCGTTTAATACAGGACTACTATTTAATATGGAAGCTATCACTGAAGAAAGGAAAAAAGTGAACTTGCACTAACTGAGATGTCATCGATGGTCTCGCTGCATGTTAAAGATGAAGATCGACCCAGCAACCAAACTGAATTATTTGACGTTATGCTTAATTTTTGTTTAGCAATTTTCAAATTATCAATATGCCCGTTTTTCATTATTTTTTTTTCTTGTTTCTTTTCCTCGTCATCCTTTTCTTCGTCCTTCTTCTCTTCCGTGTTCTCTTCGTTCTGCGTCATGTCCGTGACAACGGTGCCATCTTGGACAGTTGTAAGAACCGAGAGCTTTTTAAGCGCAATTTCCTTATTTCGTTCGCAGAACATTTTAATCTCCTCATAATAAACTTTAAATTGCTCCTGATATTCTTTAACCTGGAAAGTTAGCAATTTAATATTCAAATACAGAGAAGGGAAAACAAAGAAGTTGCTACTATATTTGCTCGAACATCGCAAAGTATACTCTATTCAAACTAACTGCAGCAAAACACAACCCGAAGATCTTATAAGTTGATGTATAGCAGGTATCATCGAAAGCGCAATAACTAGAAAAACCAGTGAAATATTCTGGAAAGTGTTTGACACGCAAAAAATTAAAAATATGCTACTCAAATAAACAAACGCAAAAACCTTTAAATTACTGGACTGGGCAACCGATGTATCCAAATTCAGAACTGTAAGTGAAGTGTTCATTTTCATTGATAGGTGAAGTGCTAAAAGGCCAGCCGATCCAATATATGGATTGTCCCTTAAATCTAGTCGTATCATCACTTTGTTATCCGCTAAACATTCTGCCAACACAATTGCGCCTAAAACCAATTCCATAATCACTTCAAATTTTACTGGACCAGCGAACACATACAGACCAATATGGTGATCTTTCATATTCTCACATAAAATTTTTATTTTACTTCCTATTCCGACATTAAATCTACAAGAAAATTTGACTGAGGTCTGAAATCAAGATGGAATTTTTAATACTTAAGTTTCTGATGGAACCACATAAAGGCATTTATATACCGCCAGCAATTTCAAGTTACTGAAAAGATATTCAAAAACTATGGTTAAAACCAAGCATTATGATCCACTAAAAGAAATTGCCTGATAGATGGCATTCTTGGCCAATTAAGGTAGCTCTCATACAACTATTATCAGCAAGCGATCATCATGCAGCTACCAAGAGATTTGCTAAGCTTTCAGATAGCCTTAGTAACAAATAATCAATAACAGTAAACATTGAGAAAGTTCCAAGTTCACCGGCAAAAATTTTCTATACTTTTGGTTAATGAAAGAACATACTTTGACAGTCAAGATTTGTAGCCTGTAAGCCAAGTCTCTGCAAACTACAATTCTGCTGCAACGCTGGTTTCAGCTTAACAATACCATCCAATAGCAGACTGTTACTACCAATATTCAGAGTTTCTAATTTACTATTTTCCATCTGGAACGTAATAATTTGGTATAATAATCAGGACTTTAACTCCCAAGACTTTAACCTAAGAACTATATTTGAGGCATTTAACCACGAATGTCTGCGTTTAAGCAAGTTAACGTCCAATAATGTTAGTTACCGTTTATTAAATGATGTTATAAGGTTTCACATTTAAATTTAAATTTAGCATAAAACAGTTCATTAAACTAATCAAATCTTCCTCATCAAATGACAGTAAAAGTTCCGTCAGTGGAAGATCATCCATTAACAAAAAAAGAGTTAACTGGTATTGCTGCAGCTTTCATCGAAATCGGAAATTAATAGCTAAGCCGAAAACTAACCAATGCTTGCGCCAATGCTTCCATTCCACAACTTGTCAATCTGTTATTCCATAATACCAATGCTGATAACGCACTATTTTTCAATGTGTCACGGTGCCTTAGTGCGTCACAAATATGACGAAGACCACCATCCTAAGTCCGTGAAAAATCGTCTCAGTTTAAAAAATTTTTAAAAATTTTTTAAAAAACTTTTTTCCAAAGTCACAGAGCTGTTTCAAAGCACAGCGACTGACCATGATAAGATATTATAATGAGTTACAAGGCTCTTCTTTCCAGACTCATCTTTTACTATTTTAATATTTCCTACAGGAAACAATAATTTCTTCACCTATCGCCAATAAAAGGAGTGAAAGGTTTCACTCCATTCATTTAAATCTTACAAATAAGTACAAACCTGCAACTGATTGTTGCGTAAGTCAAGCAATTGAATTGAAACACTGGTAATGATAATCTGATAAATGTGAGCACCATCTGCAGGTTGCAGGTTATTCTCACCCAAATAAAGCTCTCGCAATACCGTATTTCCCTTCAGTGCACATCCTATAATACAATCACGCACTTATCATCAGCATGCATTGAAGTTGTGTTGCATTTAATGAAAAAATGTTTCAAACTCTCCCTCCCCACCCCCCTATAAGCCTATTCCAGGATAATACTTCGCACTCACACTGCTCTTTCTAGTTAACTACTAATGGCAGTAAGCTACTTTATCTTCTTGATGTAGATTTCACACAAAAAATTTTAATTCCTTCACTGGATAAAATATTTGATTGATTAAAAAGTCATTTTTACAATCCCTCTTTTGAAAGATAGCGGAAATGAAGAAAGCATTTTCACATTATTTTATCCAATGAAATAGTTAGAATTTTCCACGGTTAAGAAACTCTCATTTTTCTTTTTTCAAAATAATAACTCTTGAAATATTATCAAAATTTTTTTCTATTATGAATTTCATAAACTTCCTCATATTAATGAAAACAATACTGCACGGACCGACTAAAATCAAATTTCGCCCAGAAAGGGAAATGTTTTCCAAATGTAGAATAGTTAACGACGATTGAGAGCGTAAAGCACGCGCTAACAGCGGTACGGCGCGATCGGATAAAGACGTGTAGCGCAAATTCAAATACTGCATAGAAGGTGCCTAACAACAAAAAAATTGCATAAACAATGGCCTATTATTCAATACTGAATCAACCAAAGTCCTGAAGTGAACAAAAATGTTTGCGTAAACTTATTTTCAGATAAAAATTTCTCAAAGATAATAAATGATAATAGTCACTAATATTATACAACAAAGTAAGGCTTTGAATCTAAACTATATCATTTCCAAACAAATATTATAGTCAACGAACAATTTTGTGAAATTATAAAATCAATTCTATCTTAAAATATAAAAGCAGACTTACATCTCTTATAGCTTTACATATGGCTTGCCAACCCCGCAAATTGATTTGCTTATTAAAGGACAAATTTAGTTTCACTGCAGAATCATAAAATTCAAGCATTTCTCCAAGACAGACGGCGCTCTAAACAAATAATTAAAATCATATCAGGAATCACACAAAGAGATATTGAGAAATTATTTTTAGAATTACCACTACAAGCTGTAAGCAAGTACCTTAATTTTTCATAAACCTACTAAATTGAATTAAAAAACGAAACACACTGTACGTTATTTAGGAACTTCTGACATTAGTATAAGTTCTTCCCAATCCACTACGAAATATTAACTAAACTAAGCCACGCTTAATTACAGTATTTTCAAGAATATCAATCGGAATCAGAAAATATATTTTTGTACAAAGAAAAATCTTAAAATAATAAATTTGCTAAGAATAAATGAATTTGAGCAACTTACATCGTCATCCAGAAAAGTATATTCGAAATCAAGCATATCAAACTGAACTTTATTGAAAATTTCTTCCAAACACTCCATATCGGTAGAAGATAAACGATGACCTAAACTTATTCTCTTATAGGCATTAATTAATTAATCATGAGTTCATGATGCTTAGCTTATGAACGAAGAAAAAAAGCTTAAACTTATAGCTTCAGAAAATTTAACATTGAAAAATGAGACAAAAGAAACCTTTTAAAGAGAGACATTCTTGGCGTACACCCATCACTTGATGAAAACACTGAAATAGATTTTTCTCGATAAAACGAAAAATCAATAATCTATGAATTTAAGAGTCGATGCTTTCTTTATCCTCATGATTCTCGGGTAAAGTTATATTTGATAAACATCAAAAGTCACCGAAATACTCTATCAAACGCAGGATTGCTTTTTCTGAACAAACGTGTCGGATTAATTCCCATATTATTTCATTGAATTTATCTGTTTCGGAAAACCATTTCGAAAAAGGAGAAGGGAGGAATGATCAGCGCATTCTATTATTTCGGTAACTTATTCAAAACTCTCGGAAACTGTTTCTGTGGCACAGCACTTCCGTAATGAGTTATCCAATTAAGAATTATTTTGGCTCTATTTGTGGTAAATTTCGCTAAATTTTATCAATTGATAGTTATCCTTTTTTTCGCCCAATGTTCTTTAGCAGGCACAAAGACTTATAATGTTTTCATAGGCATATAATGCATAATAATACGGAAGATAAGCATTGCATCTTAAGTATCATTATCCTCACCAAATGGGTTGTGAAAACGTTTGATGGAATAAATGGATTTGATGGTGAGAACTGCTCCTACACCTGAAACTGCAATGTTTTTCCTTTTCAAAGCAAACTAAAAGAGGATGGAAAAATATACGGCTATTTGTTCTTGTACAGCTTGGATTGGATCGACTCGCAAACGTTTGCAAACATTCAAATAGGAAATACTGATGGCATTGGTGTCACTTGTATCTAAAAATATGATCACAAATTTGCTGAAAATTGTATCTTTATAGGAACAACGATATCTAATTCAATTTAACAATTATTGTGAAGTCAATAAATTAGAAATAATTGTAAAATTGCAAATTTTCTACGAGTCTATGTGCGTTTGATATTTACATTACTTTTGAGACATATGAAAGATGATCTCTTTCAGTGGCCACCAACATAACTATGATATACCTCTGAATATGACCGAACCCAAAATAGTAGTTCGAAATCGATCACAATAGAAAAGAATTATAGCAAATTCATTACAGATAAGGTTAACTCTATTTGCAGTGTAACGATATTTTTTCCTTCATTAAAAAACATATTTTATTTCATATTTCCCTGATAGATTTTTTGGAAATCTCCAAGTCAAATTGACGGACCAGTGATCAGAAAAATTTATTTAAATAACACATCAAATTCTCCTAGTTAATTCTATCAACAGGTCAAATTTGTCTCACTCTTATTAGTGAAGACATTTGTTGGTGCATCGTAGAAATCCGTTACAATAACATCAGGAAAATGGACATTTCGCCTGTGGGAAAATTGCCGTAGCTTCCCTTCTGCTGCTGTGATTTCTGCAAAAAAATTTGCTTGATCATGACTGAAGCTTTCAGCGATGTAATTAGCGAATGGATTAAACGAAATTGATCAAGGATTGCCATAGCAAACTTTTTAAGGATGTCTTGTACAGTTCCATTTTTAGTTAGCACCACAGTACAACAAAGGTAAGCACTGAAATTGAATGGAAAGTAATTTCTAAAAACCTTCATAAATAATAAAAAACGATCTCATAAACATATGAATGTTAATGAGAAAGACAACAATTGATAAAAAACCGCGATAAGATCTTTGTGCTTTTACTTTTGCTTGCCTCAGCAAGTAATTAATTAATATTGTTTCTAGCAAACGCAATATTAACCTTTCGTATCGTCCAGTGTTACTTTTTGGTGATGCAGCTGCTGTTGTTCGTCTTGAATGGCGGTAAAGTTCTTACTGGTATCAGAAATATATCTCAATGAATTACCTTCGGTTTCAATAGAGTCCGAATTGACTGACGATACTAAAGGTGGCGATAATAATGAAGAACTTGTTGCTGCTACTACTACTGCTGCTGATGTTGTTGCTGTTGTTGAAGTAGATGATGCTAGCTGTTCCTCTTGTTGCTGTTGTTCACTGCTTGATGATGACGTATCATACAAACCCAAGAAATCTTGTAAACCCGCAAAAAATTTCATGGACATTCCAATGCCAATATTTCAATCACCGGATATAAATTATCGAAAAAAACGGATCAAAAAAGAAAAAAAGCTTGAAAACAGTTAATTAAAAGCAAGGCATTATTCAATGTTGCTTTTATTATCACTATTATTGATACCTGAAAAACAGTAATGTCATGCAATCAGAATGCAGCGATAGTAACAGTAATCAAAGCAACAGTAGAAATGAAATCAATATAGCAGATTTTATAACAGATTTTCAACTTCGTTCACATCCAGTGGTTTACGAGTCGATGTCGTCAACTATCCGACTGTACCACCAGCAGCTGCAGTAGTAGCACCATTCTTCACCTAATCGATTCTTATTCAGGGTTGGTAATATCTGTCCACATTTTTGACTACTATTCATTGGATTCAATAACCATTTCAAAATCTGCAAAAATTTTTGCTGACTTTTCAATCGTATCGTAAGCACAGCACATTGCTATATCATAATTCATCGTTTAAAATATCATGCCATTTGTTATATTAATGATGTTCATGGTTCAATGGCATACATCAATTCAATTATATCCTATTAACAGCGTATCTCAAATTACAAATAACAATATCACAGCAAAAAGTCACTTATAGTGAAATAAATAAATATGAAAAAGTATCGTAAAAATATGGCGTGTAAGAGTGAGTAAAAATATAATGTGTAACGAAAGAATATGAAGCATATATACAAAACAAAAAATTCTTATTCTACATCTGAAAAAAATTTTCCACGATGGAAACTGAAAAGAACCTATCATATATAATCTATTCCACCACACATTTTTCATGTCCAGTTAAAAAATTTCGAATATCTCTCTCAGTCTTTTTACCCACATTTCCCGCATCCCATATTCCTATCAAATCCGTATGTACAGTCAAAAAATTCCTAATGTCTCTCAATCTCCTTACCCGTATTTCCCGCATCCCATATTCCTATCAAATCCGTATGTCCAGTCAAAAAATTCCTAATGTCTCTCAATCTCCTTACCCGCATTTCCCGCATCCCATATTCCTATCAAATCTGTATGTCCAGTCAAAAAATTCCTAATGTCTCTCAATCTCCTTACCCGCATTTCCCGCATCCCATATTCCTATCAAATCCGTATGTCCAGTCAAAAAATTTTGAATGTCTCAATCTGTTTACCCGCATTTCTCGCACCCCATATTCCTATCAAATCCGTATATCCAGTCAAAAAATTCCGAATATCTTTCAATCACCTTATCCGTATTTTCCCTATCCCATATTCCGTATATCCAGTTAAAGTAAAAGAAAAAAAAAAAAAGATTTCATATCAGAATTTAATGCAGCCGATCAGAGTAAAATTGTAGTAAATGTTTAGTGTTGCAGGTAGCATGCAAGAAAGACCATTAAATCAATTGCATCATCCTTTAGAGGAGAAATATCGTTTTTCATGAAGAGAACATTGAGATTGATAAAATTATAGGTTGTTATAAGTAAGGAATTGAGAGTATTAAGATGAATAGTGTAATACTTTGAGATAGCACATAGAACGTTAGAGTATATTTAATAATAATAATAAAAATATATAGGATGAGAATGAAGAGGTGAATTTGCTTGCTAACATTATTGATTTATGATAGACGTGGATAATGAAAAATTCATTGATAAGAGGGGTAAATGATTGCTCATTTCATGAAATATTCAATGAATGTATAATTTCATCATTTTAAACATCCAAAAATTATTCGTCCTAAATTAATAAAATTTATAATCTATTTCGTATAAATTAAATTAACAAATGAATTATCATATAATATATTGTATAGAATGTAACTGAATCATATGAATTAACTATAATTATTTGTTATGTATTATTATTACTATGTGTATTGATGATATGTTAAATTATGTATTATTAATATGTATAATATAATGGCTCTTTCATTTTAGCTAAATTTACATCAAATACTATGAAAAAAATAAATCATTTAAATTGATTAAATAATTATTAAATCATATTCGAAATTATTAGTCATTTTTAATTTCATATGCAATATTTACTTCTTATTTCAAATACATTCATATATTCGTATATTTAATCTTACCACTATTTCAATTTCTCATTTAGAAAGTAAAAGTAAACAAATCATTGTTTATGTAAATCATTTAGCTGAAAATTAAACTTCGTACATAATTCTTAATTCATACGCTTCATGTTTCATTAATTATGCTAACAAATAATCAATTAGATCATAGATTATTTATACATATCATTTATTTTAGTCTTTAAGGTATTTTTCTCTTTTAAATAGTAATTAAATGAATTACAAATTAAATTAGCTATTTAATTTAAATAACTCTTTTTTTCAAATTATCATATCGTTACCTGAAATTAGCCTAAAATGTAAATTAGCAAAATAGACGGAATAAATAGCCATAATGGATAAGCAATATTTTCGTTTTCAATTTTAATATTTTCTATTTATCCTGTATCTCTTGCATAATACTTGCCATCTAATGTCATGCAAACAAACATTTTCAAGAAATAACTTGCATTGCATGCATTACACTGCATGCATCCTTTCTTTACTTTAACTTTCTTCTCGAATGTATATCATAGTTTTACTCATTTATTTATCGATCTATTTATACCTACATATCTTTCTCAAATATCCTTTTCTTTGTCTCTTTCTCTTTCTCTCTCCTTGTTGTGTGTGTGTGTGCATGTATGTGTGTATGTGTGCATGTATGTGTGTATGTGTATGTATGTGTGTGTATGTGTGTAGTGCTTCCAACGATGTACCTCGCAATACATTCCTGTGTTGAGTAGGAGGCTTTTTCGGAAACAAGCAATAGCGATATCGAGAAAATAACATCTATTCTGCTATACTGTGACATACACATACACACATACATACACATACATGCATGCACACACACATTGACATACAAGACCTTCTTTCAAATGGTTGGCGAACTATTCTAAAGTATGTCAATGAAAATCGTTGAATGGATCAATTTATCAATTTTAATAGGATGTATGTGTGTGTATAAGTACATGTATGTATGTATGTGGGTGTAAGTACATGTATGTATGTATGTATGTGTGTGTATGTGGTTGGTATATTGCTGCAGTCATTCAACCCTACAACTATGCCCCTATACTATACCTCTTTGGCATTAGCCTCCGTTCACATTTGCAATGCCAATTGAACGGTACCTCACATTTTCAAGTACCTTTTCCAGTTATCATTTTGTTTGTTTAATTGTCGTTGATATCAACACTGTCATTGTTATCTGTACTGTTGTTATTATTACTATTATTGTTGTTGTTATTGACATTAAATTGTTACTATTGTTGTTGTTGTTGTTGTTATAATTGATGTGTTGTCAATCATTAATATAGTCGTTATTGCTATTGGTATTACTCGCATATTATCACTAATATCGTTACTATCACTATATAATTATTAGTGATATTCGTAATGATATCTTATCATTAATGTTTATGGTATTATAGTGTTTGTTGTTTGTATGTGATGTATGAACATTGTTTATTATTGTTTACTTACTTAATGTTATTATGACTTCCTCTTACTTCTCCTCTTTTCATGTAATATGATAATGAAGAAAATTTGCATGCTATTGAAATTGAACGAGAATGAAATAGAGAGATGTGTTTTGAATGGAAAAGTAAAAGAGGATTTTTTTCCCCTTTGAAGATGAATGCGATAAATTTAAGAGAAAGTGATAAGATAGGAAAAGAGAGAGAGAGAGAGAGGAGGAGAAAGGGAGAAAAAGGAAGAGAGAGAAGGAAGAGGTGAGTGAGAAATTAATGGGAAAAGAAGATGGAAGTATGAATAATATCTTCGAGTGCTCTTCCTCTTTGCTTGTATTTGATCACTTCTCTTTTCTTTCTCTCATACATCATTTCTCCTATCATCAGAATATGTCTGCTTCTTCTGATAATAATACTGATGAATATATTCTTCGGATTTCTCTTCCCTCTTTCTCTTCTATTTCAACCTTCACCCTTGATATCCTCACATTCTCTTTTTCCTTTTCCCTCTAATGTTTCTTTAGTTTCGTTTTGTTTTCCATCTATCCACTTTTTACGTGGTATATTAGGCAAGGATCATTGAATAACAGAATGTTATCAGTACAATTAAATCTTTCCTTATTCTGATGTTAATTTTTCCGGTTGATCAGTAATTTCCGGTAATTCGCATATCAACTATTTTATATATTGTTTATATAGTTTGCCATGTGTTATCCATTGGAATTTTGGGAACTTGTTACATATGTAATTTATGTCGATTTTCCGAACGATCATTTGCAGATGTTTTCCGGGCATTTTATGCTATATTGAGGTAAGTGAAATATTAGTCCCTCTGGCAGGTATTCTCAGTACTTGGTTATTGTATCCACTTTTTTTCATTTTTTTACAAAGATATTCAAACTTCCACCAAAAATTTCAATGTAACTTAGCATAGTCATATTTACTATTTGTTTGGATGATTTTACTACATACATTGATAAGATAATCAGTTGTTCTCTCATATCTTTTATAACGGTAATATCAATTATTACCGTTACTAATGGTTCATCGAGAAACGAATTTGATGAATAAATGTCAAGTTTTCTAAATTTCCTTCATTTTCCCTTCAAGTTTATTTATTTTTTTTCGTACTCATCGTTTACACTTATCATTCATTTCATACCTTACCATTAATTTCTTCATTATACTTCGGGATACAAGGTAATTGATGGATCGATTCTTTTATCATTATTTCACTACGATTACTAACATCGTTTTATAAGTCCTTTTTTGAAGGCATTTTCTTAAAAAATGAGAATTCTCAAAAGAATACGAATTTCCTGTCATAATTTTGGTAATGAAATCTTATATCCTATTATGTTGTAAGACAAAGAAAAAAGAAAAAGAAATAAGTTTTATCGATTGTTGCAAAATGTTCAAAAATAATTTAGATAGTCAAAGGTCCTTTAAGAGAAATGAAGTGAG